TCTCTCTCTCTCTCTCTCTCTCTCTCTCTCTCTCTCTCTCTCTCTCTTTTTATCTGTCTCTGTTCTTTTCTGTCTCACAAATCCTAGTTCAGATAGGCAGGAGGAAAACTACAGTAGAAGTGGTAAAAGTTGTACCACAAGCGATATTGAACACAGATGCTCTGTGTACGTTCAGCAGCAGTTCATGAATATGTTAAAGGTGTTCATGAGGTAACAGTCACGGCTACATTTCCGATGAAGAGCTTTCATCTCTAGTGTCACTGTGTACGGGCAGCACAAAAGTTAACCCTGAACTTGGAGTTTATTTTGTTTCAGGCCCTGGTTTGTGTGAATAACGAGGAGTCGGTGGTGCCATTTATGCAAATCTGTGATTGCTCGCATAAATAAATCCCTGTGGGTTGCTCTCTTCATCTAGACTCCAATAAATTTGTTTTGCAGGTGTGTGTGGAGACGCAGCGGTTTGAGAGGCTAATGGAGTATTTCAAGAACGAGGACAACAACATCGACTTTATGGTATGTTCACACACACACACAGACACACACACTCAGTCCTAATGACTATTGAAATCCTACATCACCAGGCAACCCACAGATGGCTAATGAAGGTTTTTGAGTGAAGCAACCCAATTCATAACAGGCCTCATCTATAAATACTTAGTAGAGCTAATTTGTATGTAAATGAACGTTCTTGACCATTTTCACTGCAATTAATACTGAATAGGTAAACTAGCCATTTTGAAGACATATGCTCATGTTAAATATTTAGTAAATGACACCAGATAAATACATTTAGGTGGAGTTAACAGACTTTTCCTCTCATCAGTAAAACGAACACAATGTAAGCTAGGCTTTCAGATGAGATTCAATGTTATACATGGGCTGCAATTATCAGAACACTATGAACATTCAGGCTCCCTCATGTGGTTCAAAGGTGTTCTGCAGATATAAACAAAATAATATTTATCTAGCGACCCTAATCAAATCTCCTGCGACCCATCAGTGGGTCCCGAACCAGTCTTTGAGAGCAACCAGCATACTTTTCAGCTGGTTAGAAATATAGATATTTTGCACATGCGTCCTGATATGTTTGTTAAAACTGTATTCAGTTTTGCTTCCAGTTTCACAATGCACACTCACAGGACTATCAGTCTTTGTGCAAGCCCTCTAATTTTTCTCATCACAGCACAAACTGCTAATATGTGATGCCATACATCAAGCTGGAGTGCCACTAATCAAGGAACCCTTGCCAGGCCGAGTAGTGCTAATTAGCCCGACAGATGAGAACAAAACACACTGTGAAGAAAGTAGCAACGTAGACAGTATTTTATTCAGTGTGTGTGTTTATCTAGGTGTCTTTAATTGATGTGAAGCAACTGCTGCATGTGTGTGTGAGTGAAAACCAACAGCTGCTGTGTTTGAATAGGAATTCAATAGGAACTCTGTCACGAGTCCGCTCACAGTCGCTTAGTGGGCCGTCGTCTGACAGCAGCACTAAAGCAAACAGACTTTGTCAAAGCTGCAGTGTCGCACCGAGACAACTGAGCTTCTTACCGCAAGTTTCATTAAGCCAGTGTCAGGGTGAGAAGAAGTGTGTACATTAGACACTAAGAGGAGATCCCCCCAGATCTGTTTACACAGGCTCCCATAAGGCAGGCGATGGAGTTGAATTGGCTGATTTTTGTTAATTTGTTTTTTTCCACATCATCTTAATCTACCAGATAAGCCACTCTGCCAGCCAAGCAAGCACAGTAATGAGGATTTATACACACAGTTTCAGTGCAAGCCATATTAAACGGAATTAAATGTGATAATGAGCATAAAGCCATTTCATAGAAGTACCAGGCTGAACCTGAAACCTGTTGTAAATTTGTTTATTGACAATTTTGTACCATGTATTGTCAGCAGGCACACACTGAGTGCATAATATGCAGGGTTGAGGATCCTCGTTCACTGTTTCTCTTCTGTTTTTATTCCCCAGGTGGCCTGTATGCAGTTCATCAACATAGTCGTTCACTCAGTGGAGGACATGAACTTCAGAGTTCACCTACAGTACGACTTCACCAAGCTGTGTCTGGACGACTACTTAGACGTGAGTTGAGACATGACGCTGCAGGACAAATTCACAGACAGACCGAACACTCCGGCTCTTAATACTCAGCTCAATCCAGAGCACAGGTTGTCATTATAGCACCTCCGAGACGGCAACCATAGAAACACAGTCGATAATGGCTTTTCCATTACTTGAGAAAAGAAAATCTGTCAGTTCTGTAAATTCTTGTCTCCCGTCTCACTGCACGGGTGAGATCAATGCTGGCCTTTGGGTCTGAGATGTCGGCCTCGTGCATTGTACTAAAAAATTGAAACCGCCTCCCTCTTATCATCACGGCATTTCTTTTTGTGTGCATGTTTTCCAGAAACTAAAGCATACAGAGAGCGATAAGCTGCAGGTTCAGATCCAGGCCTACTTGGATAACGTGTTTGACGTGGGAGCTCTTCTGGAGGATGCGGAGACCAAAAACGCCGCCCTGGAGCGCGTGGAGGAGCTGGAGGAGAACATGTCGCATGTGAGAGCCCTCGACTTTTTGATTTTACTCTCTGAAAATCCACAAAACTGACTCCTAAATCTCATCTATTTTCCCCTGCAAAAGGCTATGTATTAATGTCCAGGATGTCAGCGTGGGATTTGCTATGATCTCATTCTTTCCCCAAACTGTCATCCACCATAAAAAGACTGGAAAGGAACACTAAATATGGACACACTTTTCGAACGCTCATAACTTTTAAGTCTTCATAATTAGTTTTAATCCAAAATTGATATATATATATATATATATATCCATATATCCATGCCCTGAGATTTCTTTGTTGACATATTGCGTTTGGTGTTTCGCAATGAGTTCATGTCACTGTGTCGCCCTTTTCCTCCCGGTTATTGTACTTGTAGATGTCAGAGAAGCTGCAGGATACGGAGAACGAGGCCATGTCCAAGATCGTGGAGCTTGAGAAGCAGCTGATGCAAAGAAACAAGGACCTTGAATCGATCAGGGTCAGACTCCACCTCTTACCATTCACATTCATCCTTTAAGTATCCATTTAAGCACTCCAAGTGTTCTGCCAACTGTTGAAATGTAGTTTTGGGGTTGTAAGGTTTCCACTCTCGTGGCAGAAATATAAAAAAAAAAAGATTATACAATACTTTATTAACAATTCTCAACCCCTGTCTCCCCCTGTCTCCCACACAGGAAGTCTACAAAGACACCAGCTCGCAGGTACACTCGCTGCGGCAGATGTTGAAGGAGAAGGACGAGGCCATCCAGCGACAGAGTAACCTGGAGAAAAAGATCCACGAACTGGAGAAACAAGGCACCATCAAGATCCACAAGAAGGGAGACGGAGACATCTCCATCCTGCCCTCGCCATCCTCCGGTGTGGGTGGCTTGCCGGGTGTTACGATGGGAGGAAACAGTGCAGCTGTCACTCCAAATCACTTGGGAGTCGTAGCTGGGATGCCGGCTCCTCCACCACCTCCTCCTCCACCACCCCCACTGCCAGTGAATGGCACATGTAGGTTTAATATTAGTGCAGTTTATCGGCATGTAAACTGTTAATCATGAAATGCAGAAAGAAGAGAGAAAATGGGAGGGAATATACACAGTTTGTACGTCGATATAAAAGTGATACTAAGCATTGAGCGTCTCTCTTCTCTCTTAGTGTTAAACGGACCATCGTCAGCCATTCCTGCAGCTGCAGCTCTCCCACCTCCACCGCCTCCCCCTCCCCCTCCACCTCCGCCTCCCCCTCCAGGGCTAGCCTCGCATATCTCAGGACCTCTGCCTCCGCCGCCTCCTCCTGTAGCGCCACCGCTGCCCGGCTGTGGGACGCCCACTGTCATCCTGAACTCTGGCTTAGCAGGTAAAATACACACATTGAGTCAAGTTTGTGTGTACATGTGAGTTATGTGATGAAGAACTGTTTCAAGAGGTGAAAATAGAGTAATGTGCAGATATTGTCTGCAAAACAGTGTAACTTTTATTATATTAGACTTGTATTCCAACTACTTTTGTCAATTGCAAAATTGTTATGTTGTTCCCACCTCAACACTTTTTGCAGCTGCTTAATGGTAAAAGTGTGTTTGCGATGTGCACGTGTAAGCTTTCTCACTAACTCTGTCAATTTCTTCATGATTTGTCTTTGAACTGTTTCTTTTTCTGCCAACCAGAGGGACCCATCAAACTTTTCTGTAGGTTCTGCTTGCCATGTTTGGTGTTTTGTCCCTCCAATGGTCCCTTTCTTTATCACAAGGACAACATTTTTTGGAAAATGGTATTTTCAGTCTCTGAATCCCGATAGAAAACAAACAAACAAACAACTTTCATTTGTGCAATTCAAGCCTCCTGGAAATAGTTCATAATTGTTTTCATGTTTCTCAAAGACATTTTCTCTTTTTTTTTTTTCTCTTCTTTTTGCCACTTGATCTCGGCAGCATATAAAAACACATATTCCAAAAACAGTGAACTGTGGCTTCATGAATTCTATTTTTGCTCTCACAGTGAGACTTTCTGTGAAACATTAAGATAACAGAGCAAATACCACATTTCAAAATTCTGCATGATTCACCTTCGCACCTTGCTGTAGTCTTGTTATATATGTGTGCGTTTGTGTGTGTGTGTGTTTGTGCGTTAAATATCGCCACATCTCAGTGTTGGTTGCATGCTGAGACACGGTGACCTGCTGGTGCACGCAGAGGATAGAAAGTGATAGGCTTTATGCAGAGCTGTTGAAGCGCTGTTTGCCCTCTCGTGACGGCCTTATCTTTCTGTCCCTGCTGACACCTCGTCTCTGTGGCTAAACCAGGCGCCACCTCGATGCTCCGCTTCGGTGAATCAGCCCAAGTGGCCACAAATAGCCATAAGCTGTCCGATAAAGTGTGTCACCGGGCCAGGCAGGAAATCCTCACCATGTGCACCATTTACTGTACAGGGTGCATACACTTTGGCCGTGTTCACCTGCCAGAGGCTGACAGGCTTTACTCTGCTTCAAGTAGGACCAAGTGTCCATTTAGTTTAAAATTCAAACTCTACTTGAAGTAGGGATGTATGTTTTTAGAGATAAAACAGTCATATCCACGTTTGTCACCTGTCTACCCCTTCACCTGTGTGTGTGAATGTGCGTGTGTGTCCTCTCGTAGGAGATGGGGTCGTGTTGCTAACTCTTCTGTTTCCCGTGCAGCTGTTAAGATCAAGAAGCCGATCAAGACTAAGTTCCGTATGCCCGTCTTCAACTGGGTAGCCCTGAAACCGAACCAGATCAACGGGACTGTCTTTAATGAGATCGATGATGAGAGGATACTCGAGGTAAGAGTCTGAATCCTTTAGTCCCCTTTTCTGACTCATTTCCGCGATGATGGAACATTAACAGATTTTTTTTTTGTCGGCATCTTTCAGGACCTAAACGTGGATGAGTTCGAGGAGATGTTCAAGACGAAAGCTCAGGGCCCGGCTATCGACCTCATCACCAGCAAGCAGAAGATCATCCAAAAGATGCCCAACAAGGTGACGCTGCTGGACTCCAACAGAGCAAAGAACCTGGCCATCACACTGAGGAAAGTGGGCAAGCCTCCTGAGGAGATCTGCAAGGCCATTCAGATGTAAGTCTCAGAATAAAACAAAAGACCTTTTTTGTTTTTATTTGAGTGTTTTTTTTGCATGGCATAAGATATCAAATGGTCTGTGTAAGATACTTTGCATGTTTCTACCCTCCTTTGTCTCACCGTCTTCCAGCTTTGACCTGCGAACTCTGCCGGTGGACTTCGTGGAGTGTCTGATGCGCTTCCAGCCCACGGAACATGAGATTAAAAGCATGCGACAGTATGAGAAGGAGCGCAAACCCCTGGAGAGCCTGACGGACGAGGACCGCTTCATGATGCAGTTTAGTAAAATCGAGCGGCTCATGCAGAAGATGACCATCATGGCCTTCATCGGCAACTTCTGCGAGAGCGTGCAGATGCTCACACCGGTGAGAACTGGGATCTCGTGTGTGTAGGACATATGTTCCCGACAGTAAAACACTGGATATGATTAGAGGCAGTCTGTACGGGATGCTGTGACCATAGAAAGTTTACTGAATTTCACATCTTCTCATGTCATCCCCTTCGTTTGCCCCGCAGCAAATTCATGCAGTCATTGCAGCGTCTGTGTCCATCAAGTCGTCACAGAAGCTAAAGAAAATTCTAGAGGTAACTCATTTATTTGTATCCGAACATAATGTTAAATGAATGCAGGGTTTTTCTTACACGTTCTTGTTCCTTCTTGTTCGGCAGATTATCTTGGCACTGGGAAACTACATGAACAGCAGCAAAAGGGGAGCGGTGTACGGATTCAAGCTGCAAAGTTTAGACTTGGTAAGTTGCCTCCCTCTGACTTTAAAGCCTTTTACTTTTCCTACACAGATGTTTTCCTTAAGTTTTGTGTTTTCTATTTTACTTTCTCCACAGCTACTTGATACCAAGTCGACGGACCGTAAGCTAACGTTGTTACACTACATAGCTAATGTGGTGAAGGAGAAATACTCCCAAGTTTCTGTCTTCTACAATGAGCTGCACTATGTGGAGAAAGCTGCAGCAGGTGAGTCGCATAGTGCACGTGTGTCGTTCTCATCTTGACTTTTTACAGTTCAGCGCGTTGCACGTGTTACTCACGCGTCCGCTGGTGTTCACAGTGTCGTTGGAGAACGTCCTGCTGGATGTTAAGGAGCTGCTGAGAGGCATGGAGCTGACCAAAAGAGAGTACAGCATGCACGGCCACAACACCATGCTCAAAGACTTCATCGCACACAATGAGAACAAGCTGAAGAAGCTGCAGGATGATGCCAAGATTGCACAGGTAACATGAGCACGCCTCGCTTTGCGAAACCTAATGCCTTGTTTTTTCAAACCCTGTTGTTGTGACAGGGTTTAACATGAAGTCATCTGAGTGTTTTCTAACTTCTGTCTTTGAAAGGATGCCTTTGACGAGGCGGTGAAGTTCTTCGGGGAGAACGCCAAAACAACGCCACCCTCCGTCTTCTTCCCTGTGTTTGTGCGATTTGTTAAGGCTTACAGGGTGAGTTGGATAATCATTTCTTGCACAATTGCACAAAACTAGTCGGGGGGTGGGGGGAGGGGCACCAACCAGTTCAGACACAGAGATTTAGCATCGCACTTCTAGTTCTACTTTTTTTTCCACATGTGCAGTAGTTCTCTCCATGACCTGTAAACAGACTTTGATGTGTAAAATAGGTGGACTTTCCCTTTAAGTCACAACAACATCTGGAAGGATACATGAGGTTGTCCTTGGGCGTGTGTGTATGAGGCGGTCCGGATGTGTTGATGCTTGTGTATGTGCATGTGTCCACATGGAGAGTATGTGGCGAGACATCAACACGCCCTCTGGTGTTATCACCACACCACAGTGTTCTCTTCTAAACCAAAACTAATAAGTATTTTACAAATAAATCTGCAAGTTTTCAGTATGATGTACTGGAGAAAACGCATCACACCATGTGTTGCTGCTAATCACAGCTTCCTGACTGTTTCCAGCCGTTTCTCTCACAGCTGCGGTGTCAACTCTGTTTAGTGCATCCTCGACTCCTCCGAACCGTGTTAATGACGTCATTCATCACATTTCATGGTGCCCGAACAGAATCTCAGCTCGCACAGCACATTGTGGCGAAACTATTCGATGCATTTGGAATGAGACTTTCTGATGTCATGTTAACAGCATAGTTTTCGCTGTGATAGTAACAGTAGTATATTTAAACGAGTTGTAACTGCGTGCCGTGTTTATGTGATATCCTCAGCAAGCAGAAGAGGACAATGAGCAGAAGAAGAGACAGGAGCAGATTTTGATGGAGAAACTTCTCGAACAGGAGGCCATGATGGAGGAAGAGAAGAAGGTGAGTCACCATTCTTTCAACTGTCAACCCCCCCCCCCCCCACTTCTTTCTAGGGCAGGTGGCTACAGTGGATCATGAAGACCACTTCCTCCCCTTTCCGCTTCATCCTACTTTCCTCCAGATTCTTGATCACAGGATTAGTTGAGCACTGACTGCCTGCTGGGTGTAGTTATATCTGGTTCTACAGTCTGACACCCCGCTGAGCCACATCACATCGACTCAGGATCAGCGGTTATACTTCTTAAACGGTTCACTTAGCTCACACATGCACAAACCTACAGAGGGAAGCGATGTGTGGCGCAAAAGCATATTTAAGCTAAAAGATCCTTTGTTGATCCTTTGTTGATCGTACTGGACTCGTGTCTAAGCGTATGACTTATTATTACATGTTAAATGAGGTATCGGTGTGTGTGTGTGTTTGTGTATGTGTTTGTGTGTGTGCGTTTGTGTGTCTCCTCAGTCTCCATCTCATAAAAACAAGCGGCAGCAGCAAGAGCTGATCCATGAGCTCAGGAAGAAACAGGTGAAAGACAGCCGCCACGTCTACGAAGGCAAAGATGGAGCGATAGAAGACATCATCACGGGTAATATCACCTGGACCTGTCTCTTGCCCCACACACACACTCTCTCACACACACACACACACACACACTTACGGTACAGGGCACTCTGCATGAAGGTCCTCTCCAAAGGGAATCTAAATCAACTAACACAATGACTTTGGCTTTTCTTAAAACTCAGCTGTCAGATGTTTGAGAACTAAAGGTGTACAACGTAATGAGTACAAACATGCACTGACAGTCCAGCTAATCTAGACATTCAGCTCCAAATGTGTCTGATGATCATTGCTAAACTTATCTGCTTTGTCATTGCTTTGTAACACCATCTGTACATAGACGGGGCCGGGTTGGGACTAGCTCCTAGGAAATGAATTCATTATACTGGAATAAATACATCTTCTGTTTACTGAAGTGTGATAAACTTGCCGTAGGCAGCGGTGGAATTTACCCACCACTTTTCTGATGTGCTGTTCTTAAGTACAGTTGTACTTTACATGTTATATATTTTTTTGTAGGCCATAAATGCATAACATACAAACAATCTTGATAGTGATCCCTTGAATTAGTTTTTGTTAAATACTGAGCGGAGCATTTTTAAAGTTGAAAAATAAACTTGTCAGTGCTCTCTGGTGGACAAAGTAGGGACACACCAGTAAGATATATTTATAGTTGTAATAAACTGATACCAGCCAATGTAAGTCTAGCTCTAATACTTTACTCTGAAAAATAACATTTTACATACAAAACATGAGAAGTTAATACAATGCGTTGTTATAGATTTTGTACCGTTTGTCTCCAGCTACAACACTGAAATGCTACTTACCTATTAATGCATTAGTATTAACAATATAATATTATGATGTGATATTGTAAAAGTGGGATTACATTTTGTTAATAGTACTTTTAGTTAAGTCATTTTGACCTGTAATGGAGTATTTTTACACTGACGTATTGCTCCTGTTACATGAGTAAAAGTTCTCAATATGTTTTCCTCCGCTAGCCGCAGTAATAATGTAAATGTGATTCTAGCGTTAAGGCAATTCAGATATCTGTAACAATAGAACTTTGCTGTGTTCTAACAAACCAAGCCAGAGAGAGTTCAGTGGAACATTAACTGCTAGAATAAAGACATTTTCTCCTGGCCCCTCCTGATGCTGTTGTTAGATATTTGCTTAGCGCTAACCAGTGCTAAAACCCTGTAGAGTCTGCTTTTCTTAAACTGTGTTTGTCCTGGCTGTTGTCCTTGTTGTTCTCAATGCAGTGCTGAAGACAGTGCCCTTTACCGCCCGCACAGCGAAGCGTGGCTCTCGGTTCTTCTGCGAGCCCGCCCTCAATGAGGAGTACCATTACTAAGCTTGTAGAACTGTCTCTCTTCTCTAAGGTTGCTGGAACAAAACATTCTCTTCTTTATGTCTCTCTCCTCCATCCTTGCATGCCTCTTCACACGTCCTCCCTTCTTTTAAACCGTCACACTCAACCCGCACACTTTCGGACCTGTGTTTGTGCACCGTGCCCGATATCGTGTGTGTTCTCTCTCCTGAGTATGACTCGGTGTAACGGTTTTCTCTGCCCACCTGCATGAAGTGTGACCCCGTCATTTATCATCATCATTTTATCAACCATGGCAAACCATAATGTCACAGAGGAAACTGTCTCCAAGTTCATACTTTTATCTGCAGTGACAGGAGATGAGAATCGGTGAAAGAGTGTACGTTTTCTCATCAAGCACTGGAGTAGAATAGTTGAGCTGCGTGCTGCCATCTAGTGCTAACGGATTAAAAACAAATACTGACTCATGAGTCAAATACTTTAGCGTTTATCACTGATTAGATTCAAATTGAATGGTTATTTAATGCAGTGTGTGTATGTAAAATATACATATGTGAGCTTTAGTCATCCTCTACATGACAGGTATGACTGATGTCATTATTGTGTAAGGGCCTGTGGCATTATAACTTGCTTTTCTTTGTTTTCAATCAGTGTTTTAATGAAAAATAAATGTCCGTGTGTTCGTTATCACATATCATCACTGCTGCTGAAACCGCTTCTTGCATGCCGATTGCTTCATCTCGAACGCTTTCCCACAATGCATCCCTGCTCTCCCAGTTAGCCCGAATGCTGTGCCTGCTCCTGCCGCTGGCTGACAGGTCACCTCTCTGTCAAATGACTCTCTGTGGTGTGGCAGGCTCGCTAATATTCTGCATGACGTCTACATATGCATAATCTCTTACATTGCAGCAGTCTGTCTTTGCGGTTGCATTCTGCGCGTGTGTGTGTGTGTGTGTGTGTGTGTGTGTGCGCTACTAACATGCAGCCAGGTTGTTTCACTGAGTTTACACCTGTCATCCGGCTGCATGCATGCTTTGGTTGCTGTTGAATGTAACAATCCTGCTGTGTCCTGGAACGGTGTTAGCTTTGTTTTAATTCACAATCGCTCTGTACTGGAAGTTTGAAACGGGCTCTTTCTCTATCCTGCTGGCAGCCACTCTGCAAAGCAGACTGAGTTTATAACACAGAAAAATAAGAAACTACAGAAGCTTTGATCCTCCTCGCTGCCAGATGAACCAGTTAACATTCTCCAGCTCTGTCCCTTCTCATGCCCTTCTCCCTCCTCTGGCCTCCCCCCCCCCCCATGCAGCCTGCTGCCACTTTGCTTTGCTCTCGCAGTGCTCTCTTAGCGCTCTCTTAGCAAAGCAGGGGTGAATATGCCGGGCTGACATGCTCCTGTCAGCCTCCTCCTCCTCCATTATTAACCTCCATTTTGTCTTCTCTTCATCTAGCCCTAAAGAAGAATAATATTACTAAATTTCCCAATGTCTACTCGAGGGTAAGGAACTCCTCCAGTAGCACACCTGTAGTGGTGGATGTGTCCCAAACCTGGCAAGCATCTCTTTATTACCTCCCTTTCCTGTTTTACTGTATTTTCATTCAGGGTTCACTCAGTATTGACCTTCCTCTTCCTCTGTTCTCCACTCATTATATCGCCTTCATAACAATACATTTGAATGTCTAACGATACAAAATATCAACTCTTTTCGGTTGATAATTCACCCATTTTATTGGCAAAGGTGCATCTTGGTTTTCACAAGATCCATGTAAGCTTTTCTACTCACAAGTCAAAACCCTGTGGCCTGTCTCTGTCATAACACCAAGAGACGGATGACCTGCAAGCCTTTTTTTTTTATTTCTGTGTAGAACTCATGCTGCTTTGAAAGACAGGCTGCCAGCACTCTGGGTATGTGGGCTCATCAAAATGCCTCCACAAGATGACTGACAGCTCTTTTATCCCCCTCCCTTCCTCAGATTTGAGGAATCAGCCTTACAGGCGAGCAGACGCTGTGCGGAGGAGCGTCAGGAGACGCTTTGATGATCAGAACCTGCGGCCGAGTAACAACGGCGAAGTGGTCGTGTGACGAGGGAGCAGTGCATGTGCTGGGGGGGGGGGGTGTGAGGATGCATATGAGACGGAGAGATGGGAGGTTCGATGCAGAGTGAAGGATAAGTGAAAGATGACAAGTGTAGCACCCATAGAGATGAGAATGAACCATAGTGTGTGTGTGGGTGGATATATATATATATATATAAAAATAAAAAAACATGAGAATGCATGTTACTCCATGTCTGTGGTACAGCAGCAGCTTTTCACTATGAAGGACTGCGGACATGCGTGGGACTGAATTTTAAGTGTCTGAAAGGTTGATTCAGAAACCTTAGACAAGCCAAGTGCCTCAACTTATTTTTGTGGGCTGATGTCACGCCGTCTCCTGTCTGAGGACTGTTTTTTTTAATATTACCCACTTCAAGCAATACAACCTGACCTTGCTTTGATTTTAAGTTGTGTAAAACTGGACTTGTGGTGGCCTTAAGAGCCACGTGAAGAGATGCTTCCTTGGAAACGTGTTGTAGAGTGTATGGGATGCGTTCCCTTTAGCTGTTACAAAAATGACATCTTTTAGTGTTGGGTTTGTCACTGTGGTATCTTGGGATATTCCGGTGCTCTTTTCCATTCCTCTTACTAAACAGTTTTTCAACTTCTACTGAAAGGGCTGATGATCAGGCGCGAAGACGGTGAAGTAATTAAGACTTTATATTTGTATTAAAGTAAGTATAATGATGAAGAATGAACGAAAAAGACATCAAAACCACTTCAAAACAAGACCGGGCTAATGTGAATTATCTATATCAGGCCCACTCCATGCTGACTTCTTTCATAATTTACTTCAGTTAATGGATCAAGCCTCAATTTGTAGCTCTTGATCCATAGAAGTAAAACTTTACCGTCCATTTAAAACGTTGCATTTCTGTAGCAGCACAGCAGTCCGTCTGGTTTCTGGGAACAAATTACAAGTAAACGAGCTTGTAAAGCAACAAAAAAAAACCACAATTTCTATTAAACGTAGAAACTGCACGAAAGATAGGGAATCCTACTAAATGGTTCTCATTGTCAAGACTGGACCAAACTTTGCATTTCATCTCTGTCAAGTTTTTTTTTTTTTTTTTTTTTTTTTTTTTTACTGATTAATTATATTCCAGGCTACTGCGTCTACTCACTTTATTGTAATTTTAATGTATAGTATTTAACCACTGAAAGGAATTCTTTAAGCTCCTGTTTTCATCTAATGTGTCCGTGTACATTAAAAACATGGCAAAACAAAGTACACTACAAAACCATGTTTCCTAAATGTACAGATATTTTGCTACGTCTCTTGTTTTTTCTTCTTAATTCACATTACCAGATGGTTAATATTGTACATATTGTTCAAACAAAAGTTTGCATTGCCTTGTGCTATACAACTTGAATGTTATTTTAACTTATAGTTTTTGTTTCCATTTTTTTGTATATTTAATTAAGCCAAATGCAGCCAGAATCTACATTAATGTAAAGTCATGTCTGTCATGTGGGTGGGTCACAGGCGCATCAAAGCCAGCTACGAAAACATGCAACGCATTTTAAATAGTTTGTCAATTTGAACAAATCCAGTGTGTTTAATCAAACTAGTCTCCGTTAGCTGACCTGTGATCAGCTGGTTTTGTGGCTTCGTGATGTGCTGCCGTTCATCTTTCTCTCAACTTCAGTCTGTAATCGTAACATTTGTCTAACTGGATAATACTGGCATGTTTTTCTATTTTACTTTCACCAGAAATGTATTTTAGGCAGTTTGTGCTTATTACAAAATAACAAGCTTTATTTTAAAAATTAGGTGATATGAGATTTTCAACGAATATGATCAAATAAAGTATTTACATTGAATATAAAGCAGTTTGCCTTTTGTAATTATTTTCTTCTCTTTCTTAGAGCATTGGGCTATAAACCCCATGCTGCAGCACTGTTGTCTTAGCCTGCATTAGTGTTGCTAGATGCGTCTAATAAACTGGCAGCGTTATTCTTTATTGAACTGAATTAAATACCGGTCATATGACGGATCACCCCACTGATTAGTTGTCCTATCAGCTGGTTTATCCATCAATGAAACACGGGCCATTAGTACTACATCCTGTAGAACTGGAATGTTTGGAAACATAAAAATATTTACTGTTGATCTCCTGAAGTATCCAAGTACAGACATAATCCATTGAAACAGTATTTTATTACATTTCACTACAGTAGATCAATTTAAACAGATGCTCAAATTAAAACCTTTTTTGGATGATTAGAGAATACAGCTAGTTAAGTTGGACCAAATCAAAACTATTCTTTCATTATCCCCGAACACATCCAGAGATAATGAAAGATGTCCTTAAACCTATTTCTTCTTGCACCACTTTTCCAGGTGAAAGACAATCAGTGTGACATTCAAGATATACTTTTAATTGAATATAAAAGTGATTGGCAATGGAAAACATGTACAGCTACAGACAACTAAAAAATACTAACAAAAGCAACAAAAAAAGACAACCTGATATTTTAAGGTTGATCAGCTGATCAGTTTCCTGATATCAAATTAGTCACCAAATAAGTGTGTAAGCTCACATTCCCATGAATACCAGAGAACGGTGTTGTGTCACATGGTCCGTCCAGGGTGGTTCGCCCAGCACAGTCACGTGAGCGTGGAGGGGAATGCATGTTTGTAGAAGTGTACAAATACAATAGAAGAGCAGCTCAGGTGTCGTCGTCATCAAGGTGCATCCAGCTGTTCCAGTAAAGTTCTTCTCCTTTTCTCCAGCTCTCCTTCACTCAGCTCACTGCCTGATGTATCCCAGCCACCCTGAACACACACACACAGTATTATATATAAACTATGAGAAATTAAATGTAACTGCTGTAAAGAAAGTGAGTCACCGACTTGTCACATACAACCTCTAAATGATGGTGGTTAATGGTAACCTTAACAGCAGCCATTAAAGCATCAGTTTGATCAAGTAAGGATCAATATTTAATTCAAGAAAACCAACCTCCTCTTTTGCAGCTTTTCTTTTCGGAGACTTCTGTTTAGAGTCCGAGCGAGGTTTCCCCCGAGACTTGTCGTTCTCTTTATCTTTCTCTAAGTCCTTTTCACGCTTTCCATCGCGCTCTCTGCCTTTCTTCTCATTGTCGGATTCTGGCGATGCCTGTGTGTCATAATCACCATCAGTTCCCATACAAACACATTCAGATAATACGTATAATAGTATGTATATATACACATACACATACACACACACGACATGGATTTGTCTTCCTGTATACTTACAGACTTGTGACGTCTCTTTTTGCCCTTCTTCTTGTGCTTCTTGGATTTTTTATAGCTTCTCTCTGGTTTCAGGCAGAACATGTCAGTAAATGTCAATAGTGCTGCACTTGTTCCACACAATGATAAACAGATCATCAGAGCTTTGAAATCCACTCACCGGATTCTCCACTGGAGGAGCGCTCAGAGGGAGACTTGGATTGCGACCTCTTTTTCTTCTTGTGGTATTCCTCGTCCTCAGACTCGGAGCCCTGTCGGAACATTGAAGTGGAGTAACTCAGAGATTAACGAGGCGTGATATGAAGTATAGACATCAAGGCAAAAGGTGTTCATGCAGATTATCTCTCTGCAGCTCGCTGTCTCTCTAAGCACAGCAGTGAGGACTACTAACCGATCGAGAGCGGGATCGTTTCCTGTGGTGCTTCTTGGACTTCTTCGAGTGCTTCTTTGTCTTGGAGTGGTGATGTTGGCATTCATGCTGTTAAAAGAAAATACATGCCACGGTAAACCTGCATCAACGTTGTCATCATGATTGATAATGTCAGCGCATTGCCACCGTCCTGGCAGACTTACCTCTAAGACGTGCATGAAGTCTTTGAATATCCTTTTCCTCTCCGACTCCAGAGTCACGTCTTCAAAGGCAGATTCTTTGAGGAATCGATCTCTGATCTGAAACCATCACAAAACATTAAGGACAGGCTACTGTGTAGTGCTTTTACGAGTAATTCAGAAATGATTAGAACTGAATAGTTGGTGCTCCGAAACGATAAGAATGTATTTTGCATTAAGGCCGTACCCCCTCCCATGAAGTCTCTGGCTCCAGTGGTGGTGTGGCCAGCTTCAGCATGTTTTTAAAGGCTGCTTCTTTCCTTTTCATTTTCCTCGCCTCCTCCTTCTCTCGCTCTCTCTCTCTGGCTTCTGCCTTCTCCAGGAGCTGCACACAAATAGGTGGAAAAACGTGTTGATCTAATAAATACAAACAATGAAAACAACCTGGAAAAGGCCTTCATAGAGCAACGTTTCAGCCCGAGACCGAAAGACACCATGAATTAACTAGAATAACATTTATTTTAAGTTCCT